TGCTGACAATGTTGCTGTAAGCAGCCTTTGAAGGGTAGTTAATTCAGTACCATATACTGGGCCCTTTTTGTAGGCAATTTGCAGCTAGTCAAATAGCTTGCCAGCAGCATGCATTAAAAATACTCAGCAAAGAAACAAGCTAAAAACTTCCTGAGAACAGAAGTTGATAAAAACATTATAATCTGCTACACCCTGCTACATGCAGTAGGTCAAAACCATTCCTGATATAAGCAAATAGATTTCCATTTATTCAAAATGTGTCTGATCTGCCTTTCAGCATGTCACAGTTTAAGTTGGGAATTTGTAAAAACCCAGTACAAATGATATAGTTTTGACATAATAAAAAGCAAAACATGTTTTGAAAACATTTAGCTCCTCAACATTAATTTGGGGGGGGGTGGGGGGAGGCAGGAAGTATTTAGCCATGGCTCAATGCAACACCCTGACTGCATTGTAGAAGCCAAATGTTTAAAAATTAGATCTAAGCTAAAGTCTAAGATGCAAATGCAAAAGGATAGATGTCACAGCAGTTGTCAGAACAACTAATTTTAGTATTTCAGATGATGTTGAAAATGCCAGGATATGGCAGAGATCAAACACTTCCAGTCTGAAGGACAGAGATAATCTTCACCATTTTTCGATAGCTTTCCCAAATCTATTCAGCATCACTTTGGCTTTATCTACAGTGAGATTCATGCAAACATCACCCATATTGGAAGTTCCACTGACCTACGGTACAGTAGAACACTGCACAGTGTCATTTGAATCAGAAGACTGAAAACACTGGATAGATGTTTCTTCCTTAAACCTCTGAATGGTCTCAGAGATTTCTTGCAAAGAAAAAAAAAAAGCCAGATAGGGCTTTGCAAAATTTGAGCACCAGTGGGAATGGATGCCAGTGCTCTGAAATAAATGAATGCCATTATTTCATCCAATCCTTCCAACATTTCTTGTTGAACCACCAATGCTATAAAATAAGAGGCATTGCAGGCAGCCATCAGTTAATATCATCTGCCTGGACACAACCTTTTCAGCAGTAGCCAAAAGGAGATTAAAAACCCCCAAGCATTCTTTGGTCTGCACCAGATAGGCAGGATCACAGATTTCTGTTTTTTTTTACTGTAGTAGCAGTTGTCTTTCTATATTTTTTTCAGTAATCTTAATTCCCAAGAGAAGAACAGACACTAGATGACAGTCAGATTGACAATGTCAGAGGAAGATTTCTGAACAGAGGCAGCACAGCTAAGCTATCGCCTCCTTCTGAGACTCTGCTTATCTGTCATCCTTGAGGAAAATTCCAGCAGTTTTTAATAATATTTGACTTATGGATGAGCAATTTTTCAACAGCCTGGAAGACTTGAGGATCAAGCAAAGTGTGGACTGATGAACTCCTTGGGGTGCCCAGCACATTGCAGATTACTGTTGACAAAACCCAGGAGACATGGCACAGTGCAAGTCTCCAGGCACTGCCCTGATTCCAACGATACAGCCAGCCTCATCTGAATCCCAATGATCTTCTCACCAAACCAACCAGTAATTTCTCTACAGTGGAACAAATGATATCTGGGGTGTGAACAATGCACCAATGCAAGTCCAGGTTGTATTCCTTAGCGGTATAAGGAATGGTGAGGGTGGGCTGCTGCTCACACACGGGCCTTCGCTGCTCTTCGTTCTTCAAAGGCATGGCAGATATCAGGGCAAAGAAATGAAATACTCAGAAAAAGCTTTTAAATCCAAGTTAAATCCCATCAATGATAGCTTTAAAAGATCAGTTCCTTATATCTACAAAAGCACGCTGATGGGATTATGTGCAATCTGGCTGCTAACATTTGCAGTGTCACAGAACACCATACAGGCGACTTGAGTGCTCACCTCCTCTCTGAAAACACCTCACTGTGAGGCATTTTGATGTGGAAAATCTTTCACTGGTGACTTTTGGTTTAAATTGCAGTATGCTCCGCTGTGCGTACAGCCAGCCAAGGACCTTGCACCAGGTGTAGTGGCACTGCTCACCAGCAAGACGCTCCAAGAGACCCGCCGCTGGCAGGTGGGTGCTTTTCATGGAGTTCATTTTCATGCCCTATTGTTCTACATGTTTATAACATCCTGTTACATTATTAATAGTGATTAAATGTTTAGGTATTTCAGATCAATAAAGACTCCGTTTACATATTTACTTTATTAAAAATTAATAAGTTACAAAGAGAAAGTGCACTGAATTTGTGCGCAGCGATGGAATGAAGTCAAGGTTGTAACCTAAGTGCTATGTACTGTACTGTGAACATAAAAAAAAATTGTTATGCCCTTATTACTGGCACATGGTTTATCTAATGCATAGGCCTAGTTGACAGGGTAATAGTTAGGTGATGAGGATGATTTGTGGATCTCTTTGTCAGCATATAAGTTATAGCTTCCCAGGTGAACTACAGCATAAAAACTTATGTGCCCCTATATTTCAAATGTTCAAGAAAATATGTGTTACCAGGTTTTCTAAGCAAGTAAGTGCCCCTTTCCTATTGCACAGTCTTTTCCTGTTAAAGGGCAAGCCAATCTCGCAAACACTCAGAGATCACTCTACTGTTTGCACGACAGCTTGAAAGTAACCCGCAGCACAAAATGGTAGACTCCACGCTGGTCTATCAACATGTAGTAAAACCAAAAAAGTTTGTTAATTAGGTAGCTGGATTATATGTAAATGACACGCATTAAATTTATGACCTTGTAAAGACCAGTTAAATTCTATTGGGCAGAAAAGGGACTGAATACAACGCACAGGAATCCAACTCGTCCTTCTGCTTCCTGCCATTATACGTATCTACAGCATAAAGGGCTGAACTTCCCCCCACTTATTTCACAAGTACGAGGTAGCTTACCTTCCGCAACAGTCAAAGTCTTGTTAATAAGAGTTGTAGAGTTTGCTGCTGTGACACTTTTATGAACCAGATAAGTAGTAACGAGAATCTGATCAACAAGATTCTCAGCTGTTGGAACTTAAACGTTTGCTATCCTTTTAAGTATTTTTTGATCACTAGTGAAGAATTCTTAGCTATCCAGGTATCACTGTTTTTTTCTGGTTAAATAATTTCATTGTAATTCTCAATATTCAGAAAAGTCTTTCATCTCAAAGAAAACTCACCTGCTCTCAAATGAGACATCACCTGGGATTACATGAGTGCTTTCCTTCCCAATAAGGAATCTGATTCGATCATAGAAGAGTCTTGGAGGATGCTGAGAGAAAGGCGGTTGGCTGTGCTGAATAAGGTCAAGGGGATCAGGCGAACCCTGGCAGAGAGGACTTGCGTAACAATTGCTCTGCTGACAACAGTCAGGGTCTACACAGTCTGTCAAGCCATCTAAAATGGAGAGAGTGGAAAGTTCAGGAAATTGAGTGATTCTGAGAATAAAGCACCGTGTTTACTACTGGAAAGCACAGGAGGTATTCCATCAATTGGAAGGCATGCTGATTATGACACACTCAAATTCAATAAAGCATTAACGTACATGCTTAGTCCAGGAGGGGTATTTCTCTCTAGTCATTAACACTGTATCACCTCATAAAATCCCCACACGACAATGAGAAAACAGAACCTACAAACTAAGTGAACAGGGAAGAGCGGGACTGTCGTCACTGCAGAACAGGAAGAAGAAGAAAATCACTACACAATACTTGTTAGTCCGACGGGTGCATGATCCACACTGTGCAGCTGGTATCTCTAAGACTCCTTTATTGTCACTACTGTCTGTTCACACCTGTGAAGAATATACACTTGCTAACCAGTCTGCAAGCATCAAGTCTGAAATGTTATCTAACTCTCATAAGCATCCTCACTACAGCAGTAAAAAAAGGTACTTGTTACAGTTGTCTGACTTCTATTTTAAGCCCTACAATAGTTTTCTTAGTGCTTTAGGATGTTTACCTTTCATTTATTGGTTGCCAATACTAGAATAATCCAAAAAGGGCAGAACCATGACTACACTCCGTGTGTAGTTAGTGATATACAAATACACCCCTTGGTGCAGGCTCTATCCCGGTGACCTGTCAGATACAGTCTTCTCCGTGGATGTTTGCACCAGGAAAGCAGATGTGGAAAGTGAAAATAAACCTATTCCTCATCCCTTGATTTGCAAGTATGAAAAATGGAAAAAAAAATAAATTATTTCTTCTAAACCCTACATTTCTTCATGGACAAACTTGCAACAACATTTGTGGGTGAAATTCATTTACTTAAATGTCCAAAGCTTATGATGAAAAGTGAAGCACTGCAGTGCATCTAAATTAAGCACCTAAATAAAACTTAAAATTGGGCTATTGGCATTTAATTGCTTCTATCAGCAGTTTAGACGTCCAAATGGCCTAAATTACATACTCAATCAGAAACAGATTTAATAAGGTACGGTAAAATGTCCAACTATCTTCTTAAACATCCATTTTATGACTTAGTAGTTGCTAATTTGCTTGGACCGACAAGCACACTCATGCATATAAAGCAAGATTAAGGCATTGTGTCCTTCAACAAAGACATCTCTTTGTAATTTTAACAAGGTCGGTCTGAATAAATGTGGAGTCATCATATCACTGTATGGATTTCCCTTGTGTTAAAGTCAGAATGCTATAGAATCAACATACTGTCAGATATTTTCACTTCATGCTTCGACTTTTCATGCTCTGTTCATACCAACGCTTTGGTGCCTATAAAACTGTACCTCCTCAGGGCAAACTGTGTTATCAGGGAAGCTGCTGTAGTTTTGTCATTGACTTTTAACGGGTGCGAGACCAACCCTCAGCCAACTCTGCTCTTCCCTCAATAGAGCACACTGCACTGTGTGAATGCTCAGTAAATAACAGCATAAAATATTCACTTTGAAAAGAAAGCAAAAGCCCTTCTACAGAACAAACAAGTATAATGAAATGGGCTTTCCTAGAGTCTGAAAATCCTTGCCTGACCTTGAGCAAGGTAATTGCTTGGCTAAGCAAAAAATATTAACAAATCTATCCTACTGCAGCTGGGAAATCAGATAGAGCAGGCTAGTTTTTGTGATAATGAGCCAAGGGCAACTGTAGGTAGCTAGCAACAATAATCTAAGAGCCTTGGATGAAGCAAAGTTGGCATGGCTACAGGTCAGTGCATGCTTTAAGTTCTTTCCACATCCCCCCACTCCTAGAGACAACAGGCATTTGCTAACGGTGGGAGAAGCACTTCACAGGGCAATGTTGAGTTTATTGACTTTGAGTGTAGCAGTCACTTTATATTCAGGAAAACCTAGAAAGCTATTGAAATCCGCTAGGAAATCAGTAAGCTGAGACAATAAAGGGCCTCCAGTCTAAACAAAACTACACGGGAAGTGGATGGAGGAGTTCACAATATGAACCAGAGGGGTTTTCATTGCGTTCTGATGAAAAACAAAAGAGCTTTTTGGGTTGAAACATGAAGAGGACGCTTGGAACTGCAAGGAAAAAATACCTCTTCTTACCGTTTCCTCTTTTTTGTCCAAGGAATGAAACTCTATTTTCTTAGTAAGTGAACTGAAAAGCATCAAATTACTAGTAGATTCTCCAAGACTACAAATATTAAAGAATTCTACTAGACTTGAAAAGGTGATAAAGAAATTGAAATCTCTTGCTTTTGCTTTGTAGTGGTGAAGATCCCTGCAGAGGGCTCTGATGTGGTTAGGCATAGCTATTCAGGGCTGGTCTGTTGGTGGAATGGTTATGGCAGTGACAGGTCTTGTTCAAGGAGTCAAGGTGCTTTCTGGAAGGTACTAATTTCTACAAGCTGACTGCTCTCTACCTGAGAAACTTGACAAACATTGGTCTGGCAGAATAAGTACTAATCAGGAAAAAGGCATGCTTATTTCAGAATAACAGTATCCATAGGGAAGCTATTTTGGAGCAATTTATTCCACAGTAGCTATTCTGATTAATTTTTTCCTTATCAACAAGCCATTAGATGTGGGAACTGAGCTGACCCGATTTTCTCTTTCATATAAGAAATAAAAGCGAAAAGTCACAGAAATATTAGAATATGAAGATCTGCTTAGAAAAGAAATAGCTATAAAAATAACAATTAAATACTTTGCTTTCTCTAACAGAGTCCTCATTCTTCTCTGCTTCGGTCAACAGCTTACATGCCTGGCAACAAACACTGCACATCCATGCTGTACACGAAAAGAAATCAAGTAAAGGGAAAGCAGTTTTCCATCTTCCAGTCAGACTCAATTTTCATCTTTTCTTTGCAGTTTACTTGTCAGCAAAGCGCCTGTCTTATAAACTCTTCCAGGTTCTGCTAATGGAGTTATTTTGGTTTGAATTACTTGCACCTGGTTTCATTTGTCTCTCCAGGGTCTTAGGGCTACAAAAGGGTGGGTTTCCCATTAGTAGAGGTGTGAAGTCCCAGAAGCATATGTGAGTAATCTATGGTGAGAGTGGTATTTGTCCTAATAGCACCATGAACGTACAAAGCACTGGATACACCAGGAACAGCTTACAGCCTTGGGAGCAAAGGCTACAAATTCATCAGAGGAAGAAATTGCTAACCAAAATATAAATGTTAATCCAAAGTAGGAGTCTTCTAGGTTACAGATTATCATTCATGGCTTCTCTCTCTCTCATGCTGTATTTTCTTTTTTTTCATTTTTTTAATCTTTTCATTGATTAGGTGACTATTTCAATCTCCCCTCTCAACCATGCAGAATGAACCAGAAGAAAGATGCTAGGCTCAGAAAAGATGCTCCATGGGCAGTGAGGCAGGAGGTGCAGCAGCACCAACTCCTCTGCAGACTCTTAACACCACATATTTGGCTCAGGCCACTGGGTGTATGTATTTAAGAATTATTAATTAGAATTGTTTGAATAATGCAAAGAAACCAACTTGGATAAAACTGAAAAACATTTTTCACGCTTTGTGCTGAAGTAAAAGAATAAACCACCTATTTCAGTGCAAAGAGGGAACTCTTCAGCCAAAATAAAATCTTTGTTCCACTTTAGGCTCATTTAAGACTTTGGCTTTAACTTAGACCATTTAAAAGAAAAAAGAAAAAACTCAAACCTAAAACCCCAAAAGAAACTACTGTAAATCAGCATGATATCTGTTAATTCCCACGATGAGGGAAGAAATGGCAAGAGCCAGCAGATCAATACCTGGCATCCCTGGCAGAATTTGGGGTTTTTTGATCACGAGTCTGTCTACATGACACAAGGTCTGCTGGCGACGGATGGGGTACCCCTGTCTCAAAGGGGGAAAAGGATCTTTACACATGACTTAGCAGGGCTCATTGAAAGAGCTTTAAACTAGATTTGAAGGGGGAAGGGGATAAAACAAGGCTCGCTAGAGATAAGCCTGGGGGCAGCATGCCAATGTTCGAGGGACAGTGAGCTAGCAAGGTGCTTTGCTCTGCTGTCTCAGTGGAGGTAGGGGATGGAGATCCATGCAGCAGCAAAGACGCGAGGGTTATGGATGTGTTAGAAAGCACGGAAGCGCCTGAGAACGGTCACGTAGAAATTAGGGTTTCTCTCCCTGCAAAAATGTGGCGGGATCAATAGCCCAACTGAAGCGCAGCTGGCCAAAAAGGACCTGGGGGTGCTGGTTGACAGCCGCCTGAACATGAGACAGCAGTGTGCCACGGTGGCCAAGAAGTCCAACAGCATCCTGGCTTGTGTCAGGAATAGTGTGGCCAGCAGGAGCAGGGAGGTGATTGTCCCCCTGTACTCGGCACTGGTGAGGCCGCACCTGGAATACTGTGTCCAGTTTTGGGCCCCTCACTACAAGACAGACCTTGAGTGCTGGAGCATGTCCAGAGAAGGACAACGAAGCTGGTGAAGGGTCTGGAGCACAGGTCTTATGAGAGGCAGCTGAGGGAACTGGGGTTGTTCAGCCTGGAGGGGAGACCTGATCGCTCTCTACAACTACCTGAAAGGAGGTCGTAGCAAGGTGGATGTCGGTCTCTTCTCCCAAGTAACAAGTGATAGGGCAAGAGGAAATGGCCTCAAGTTGCGCCAGGGGAGGTTTAGACTGGATATTAGGAAAAATTTCTTCACCAAAAGGGCTTGTCAAGCACTGGAACAGGCTGCCCAGGGAAGTGGTGGAGTCCCCATCCCTGGAGGTATTTAGAAGATGTGTAGACGTGGTGATCTTAAAAGTCTTTTCCAACCTAAATGATTCTATGATTCTATGAAAATGAAAGAGGTAAAACAAACTGGTACAGAATCACAAGTTACATATGGAGGCAGTTTATGATAATGCAAATGATATTAGTAAGTGCATGTGAGGATAACATTTTCAACAAGCCAATCCTATTTGAAATGAGGTATTTAATCCAGGAGAATAACCCAGAAAAACAAATAAATCTTGTTTATAAACTGTAACATCTAACTGCAAATACATTAGTAAATTCTCAACCAATGGTCACATTTTTCAGTTAAGTTTTCATATCAGGAACCAACTATTAAAAAACTCACCATGTTAAGAAAACAGCAGGGTTTCTTTTAAATCTCAGGAGACAACAGTCAGGAGTATGAACAAACTACTACAAACAACAAAAACTGTAATTCATACAGCAGGGGAGCCTGTACACGGAAGTTTTTACTGTCAATTACCACAAAGTGCATCACAGCATAGGTGCAGACTAAAATGTATTACAGGGGTGTAAATGATTTTGGTTTGCTATTAGCATTTTTTTATTTATTTTATATAAAAGGCAGTCAGGCACATTCACGGTGCACCACAGATTATATAATAAACTG